AAAACTACAGCTCCTGGTGCTGCTACAATAATGTCAGGTAAAAACTACAGCTCCTTGTGCTACTAACTAGTGAAAGGGTAGAACTACAGCTCCTGGTGCTACTAGTGTAAGGTAGAAACACAGCTCCTGGTGCTACTACTACACTAGTGTAGGTAGAACTACAGCTCCTGGTGCTACTACTACATAGTGCAAGGTAAAAATTTACAGCTCCTGGTGCTGCTACTACACTAGTGTAAGGTAGAACTACAGCTCCGGGTGCTACTATACACTAGTGTAAGGTAGAACTACAGTCCTGGGGGCTACTACACTAGTGAAAGGTAGAAACTACAGCTCCTGGTGTTTACTAAAACTAGTGTAAGGTAGAATACAGCTCCTTGTGTACTACTACATAGTGAAAGGGTAGAACTACAGCTCCTGGTGCTGCTACTACACTAGTGTAAGTAGAACTACAGCTCTGGGCTGCTATTTCACTAGTGAAAGGTTTAGAACTACAGCTCCTGGTCCCTTACTACACTAGTGTAAGGAAAAAAAACTACAGCTCCTGGTGTACTACTACACTAGTGTAAGGTAGAACTACAGCTCCTGGTGCTACTACTACACTAGTGTAAGGTAGAACTACAGCTCCTGGCACCGCTTCTCATCTTTTGAATGACTTCATTCCTAGATATTTAAATTTTAAATGATTAAATTTCGACTTAGTTATTTTCTAGTTAGGTTGCTGTGAGTGCAGGTGGGTGATAGTGCAGGTGGGTGATAGTGCAGGTGGGTGATAGTGCAGGTGGGTGATAGTGCAGGTGGGTGATAGTGCGGGTGGGTGATAGTGCAGGTGGGTGATAGTGCAGGTGGGTGATAGTGCAGGTGGGTGATAGTGCAGGTGGGTGATAGTGCAGGTGGGTGATAGTGCGGTGGGTGATAGTGCAGGTGGGTGATAGTGAGGTGGGTGATAGTGCAGGTGGGTGATAGTGCAGGTGGGTGATAGTGCGGTGGGTGAAAAGTGCAGGGGGGTGATAGTGCAGGTGGGGATAGTGCAGGGGGGGTGATAGTGCAGGTGGGTGATGGGTGCAGGTGGGTGTTTAGTGCAGGGGGGTGATAGTGCCGGTGGGTGATAGTGCAGGTGGGTGATAGGGGCAGATGGGGTGATAGTGCAGATGGGTGAGAGTGCAGGTGGGGATAGTGCAGGTGGGTGAGAGTGCAGATGGGTGATAGTGCAGGTGGGGGGATGTGCAGGTGGGTGATAGTGCAGGTGGGTGATAGTGCAGGTGGGTGATAGTGCAGGTGGGTGATAGTGCAGGTGGGTGATAGTGCAGGTGGGTGATAGTGCAGGTGGGTGATAGTGCAGGTGGGTGATAGTGCAGGTGGGTGTTAGTGCAGGTGGGTAAATGTGCAGATGGGTGATAGTGCAGATGGGTGAGAGTGCAGGGGGGGGATAGTGCAGGTGGGTGAGAGTGCAGATGGGTGATAGTGCAGGTGGGTGATAGTGCAGGTGGGTGATAGTGCAGGGGGTGATAGTGCAGGTGGGTGATAGTGCAGGTGGGTGAAGTGCAGGTGGGTGATAGTGCAGGTGGGTGATAGTGCAGGTGGGTGATAGTGCAGGTGGGTGATAGTGCAGGTGGGTGAAGTGCAGGTGGGTGATAGTGCCAGAGGGTGATAGTGCAGATGGGTGAGAGTGCAGGTGGGGGATAGTGCAGGTGGGTGAGAGTGCAGATGGGTGATAGTGCAGGTGGGTGATAGTGCAGGTGGGTGATAGTGCAGGTGGGTGAGAGTGCAGATGGGTGAAGTGCGATGGGTGAGAGTGCAGGTGGGTGATAGTGCAGGTGGGTGATATTTGCAGATGGGTGAGAGTGAGGGTGGGTAAATAGTGCAGGGGGGTTTGAGAGTGCAGATGGGTGATAGTGCAGGTGGGTGATAGTGCAGGTGGGGTGAGAGTAAGGTGGGTGATAGTGCAGGTGGGTGATAGTGCAGGTGGGTGATAGTGCAGATGGGTGATAGTGCAGGTGGGTGATACAGGCTTCACATCAACCCGTTCCTTTCCCATCACAACGTTAATCACTTTTAACAGGAAGGGAAAATTAAGCCTCAGATTACCATTTCAAATTTAGTGTTTATACACAGATACACAAAACGTCTCTAGTATTTTACTTTGTTGTTTCTTACCTTCTAGACCACATGGTATACATATTGTAAACTTTGTGAAGCTTGCCTACCACAACTTAATCAAAACTTGATAAATGTAGACACTTGTGTAGCTTTGGGTATCTTTATTTTGGATACGTTTCTCCAGCCAATGGCTTCTTCAGTCCAACGTAGAAAAAAATAATCAGAGGTAATCAGTCCCTGAGCCTGGAGTCGGTGTTCAACTTGTTGCACTTGACCACTCTGACACTGACGAGGTATTTCCTAACAACCCTCTGCTTAGCTCAGTGTTTTAACTTCCATCTTTTGGTGCCTTGTTCTGCCTCCTCATGTCTTCCCTCGCAGCGCTGGATCTTCACTAAGAGATCTAACGAGAGCTTCTCCATTTTCTCAAGCTTGCTTGGTTGCTTGGTTGCGTGTGCGCGTGCGCGCGCGCGCGCGTGTGTGTGTGTGGGGTGTGTGTGTGTGTGTGTGTGTGTGTGTGTGTGTGTGTGTGTGTGTGGTGTGTGTGTGTGTGTGTGAAAGAGAGGAGAGAGAGAGATCAACATATTTACACACACCTCCAGTCTTATTCTACAATTGCCTCTCAATATCCACATACACGCCTCATATATTTAACAATGCCAGCGAAACATTAAAAGCAATACCTGACAAGGAAGCTATTTAAATTTAACAACAGTACTGACAGTGTGTGAAGTGTTCTGGGAAGAGATTTATCAACGACGAGATACTGTAACGTCACACTCCGCTCGTTCTGGTTGCGCCACTGACCAACGTTCACCTCTGAGAGACAAGACCCAAATCTATTTTTACAGAATACATTTCGTTTTACATAGAGCTTTATCAAGACCGACTTGACAAAGCTCTGTTTAGAACGAACTGTGCTCTACAAATATTAATTTCGAACTGAAGATAATAACAAACAAGCGAAGCGTCCCATCCCTTTGTTTGCAAAATACGCTAAACCTCACAAGTACTCAACCCGCACATAGCAGAAACAAGTTTATGACTACGTTTGGTCCAACTTGTATCACTGAGTTGTTACACTAACACGCGAAGGCGAGAGAGCCAGAATATACAGGAGAGGACAAGAACTGGACAGAGAGGAGGAAAGAAGGGGAAATGGAGGGAAATAGGGATAAAGGTAATGCTGGTAGTGGAAGTAGTGAAGATTAAGACACATATACAACAGTGGGGTATCTTTAATGTTGGTAGAATTACCGGATATATGTGCACTTGTGCCCTTTTAATTAAAAAAAATAAATTAGATTAGAATAAACTATCAGCTATTCTCTTGCTAGCTATCACATGGAAAGTAAAACCAGACTACTGATACTACCAGTCCTACTAGGGTATACCTACTAGGGTATACCTGGAGTGTACCTGCAGAAGGCTTCTGGGATCAATGCCACCGTGGCCAGGTATGGGAACATGTTGGATAATCCATTGGGGATCTGACACCGTAAAATATTTACCAACTCCTTCTAGGTCTAAATGCTCTTAGAGCTGTTGCTGGCTACAACCCCATGGGAACCAGCGGAAGGCCTCGGTCAGATGACCGAAAGCTACAGCTGCGGGTCATCATATAAGGCCTGCGTCGGAAAACACTTGTCCTGTTTCCCGACAAATGTTACCTAACCTAACCTGGTCCTAATATAAACAAATGATATACACAGCCTATAACAGAACTGTAACTAATCCGCGCCTATGTTAATGTTAGCTTAAGAAAAGCAAAATATATTCAGGCACTAGGCCTAAAGCAGCGCTCAGACTTATTCCCTTGGTTGCGCTAAAAGATCCCATATGTAGCTTTAAGAATAGGTACGATGGGACTCACTGACCCTGTAGTGACCACGAACACAGGTACTGAAGCCACAAAATATAAGAGTACAAAATTTTATGTACTCACCCTAGACGAACGGGTAGTACTCATATATTTGTGGGCTGCAGGGGTCGATTCACAGCTCCTGGCCCCTGTGTGTGTTTTGAGACAGAAAAAGAGAGAGAAATAGAAAGAAAGAGAAAAAAGAGGAAGAAATAGAAAAAGAATAGAGACAAAGAGAAGAAAGAGAAGGAGAGAGAGAGAGAGGAGAGAGAGAGAGAGAGGGAGAGAGAGAGAGAGGAGAGAGAGAGAGAGAGGGGAGAGAGAGGAGAGAGGAGAGAGAGAGAGAGAGAGAGAGAGAGAGCAACACAAGCACTGACACTTATACACCACATTATTACGAACAATGAAACAATCAAGAGGAATTTTTACGTTGTTAGAGAACGTGAGGAACGTTGCCTGCCAAGCCACCAGCAACACCCAGCAACACCCAGCAACACATGCAAGCATTACCATTTCGGAATGTTCCTTGTGGCTTGGTTCATACGTTCACTGTGTGGCTTGGTTCATACGTTCACTGTGGCTTGGTTCATACGTTCACTGTTTGAATTGGTTCATACGTTCACTGTTTAGCTTGGTTCATACGTTCACTGTGTGGCTTGGTTCATACGTTCACTGTGTGGCTTGGTTCATACGTTCACTGTGTGGCTTGGTTCATACGTTCACTGTGTGGCTTGGTTCATACGTTCACTGTGTGGCTTGGTTCATACGTTCATGGTGTGGCTTGGTTCATACGTTCACTGTGTGGCTTGGTTCATACGTTCACTGTGTGGCTTGGTTCATACGTTCACTATTATTATCTATCTAGGGGAAGCACTAAGCCCGTATGGGTCATCTACAGCCTGGGTGAATGGGATTAAATCGTGACCGATCCAAGAGGACAACTCCATTTCCTTGGATCAAGAGCCCCTCGCCATCTTCAGAGGGTCACTCTTGGAGACTGACAGTCATGTCACTGATGCTGGTCTTTGACGGCGCCTCTTACACTCTGTTCTTCGTCTTTTTCACCATCTTTGCCTTCATTGCCTTCATCATAATTTTCATTTCCTTCATCATTTTCTTCATATTCATCATTTTCTCCATTTTCATCATTTTCATCTTTTTCTTCCTGCTTTTGCCTCCTGCTACTAAACAGCAAGCCTTTATGCCTATGGTGTGAATAACTAGCTTTTAGGCCCATGGTATAAGTAGCCTGTAGGCCTATGTTATAAATTACTAGCCTCTAGGCCTTGGTTATAACTAGCTTCTAGACTTGCGACATGGACAAACCCGGGAGGTTAATACACATCAACCACAAACGTTACATACTACACGCTGGTCAATGTACTTCTCACAGCTAAGTGTACTACTGTATGAATATACATGCATACTGCATCTCCATACCCAGGTGTATTACTGTATAAATATACATGTATACTGTATCTTTATACCCAGGTGTATTACTGTATGAATATACATGTATACTGCATCTCCATACCCAGGTGTATTACTGTATGAATATACATGTATACTGTATCTTCATGATAAATTAGACACATGTGCAACTCTTGGGTATCTTTATTGAGGAACGTTTCGCCACGCAGTGCTTCATCAGTCCATACAAAGGAGAATCTTGAAGAACAGGAGGAGAATGAGGTAATCAGTCCCTCAACCCTGAGTCGATGTGTTCAGTCCATCAATCTTGATTGATCAAGATTGATGGACTGACCACATCGACTCAAGGTTGAAGGACTGATTACCTCATTCTCCTCCTGTTCTTCAAGATTCTCCTTTGTATGGACTGATGAAGCCACTGCGTGGCGAAACGTTTCCTCAATAAAGATACCCAAGAGTTGCACATGTGTCTAATTTATCAACATGTCGGTTCTCTGAACCATTCATCTACAAACTGTATCTTCATACCCAGGTGTATTACTGTATGTCATTGTAGGACTTTGTACGCTCATGTTCTGGCTCAGCCTCAACAGCCTCGTTAGTGGAAAAAAGTGTATTTTTTTACTGGCAGATATTATTGTTTATTTTCTTGATAAAGAAGCACGAGTCTTGGGCTTCTCGGCGTTTTAAATGTATCTGTTTCATTAATTACAACCAGGCTCTTGGGTGTCTTCAAGAGAAAACTCGGCGAATTCCTGGAGTCAGTTCCTGATCAGCCAGGTTGTGGTGCATATGCTGGGCTGGGGGTACCAATAGCCTGATCTATCAGGCCGAAAATGGACCTGGTCGGGGACCGTGCCACGGGGGCGGTGACCTCCAGAAGCGACTACAGGTAACATACACGTACGGATAATACTATAAATGTTACACTGTCCTTATCAACTTACTACTGTCACTCTATCTCAATCATTATCACGAAGTAAAAATATTTAGTGTATTTTTTTTCAATTCAGCAATCCGTATTCATAATTTGTCCCGCGTCATCGCTCGTGTCGGCAAATTTCGACGAAACTGAAAATAACCCCACCTTTTATCCCGAAAGAAATGCTGGGTTCCTAGGCAAGCACCCTGTGGGATACCCGGCATCCCTCCCAGCAACGCAAGTCACTAAACAACCCGACGTTAAGGTGGACCAGCACTGTGAAAAATTGAGAATTTTGAAACTTAATTTATAGTCCAGCAGCAGCTCGTCCTGTGAGTGTTCCTTCAGGGCTACAGCCATCAGTGGGTAAATAATATATATATATATATATATATATATAATATATATATATATTTTATATATATTATATATATATATATATATATATATATATTATAGTTTTACTCTGAGGATGGTTGAGAAAGACACTTAAACAAGAAAAAGGACATATTAGAAACGTTTCGGTCCTGGGGCCTTGACTAAGGTCCCAGAACCGAAACGTTTTCTTATATGTCCTAGTGTTTGCTTACGTGTCTTTCTAAACCAATTTGTGGGTATCTATTACCAAGGTTTATACCATATAGTCTGAGGTTAAAGTTAATAGAATTAAGGATATATGGAACTCAAGCTTACATAGTAACAAGCTTCACTGCTACAGTTTAAGGTCAAACCTTACTGAAGAGCATTGAGTGTGAATTCAGTGCTTACAGTAGTGCAGAGCGCATAGGGGAAAGCTTACTGTTGGACGGGGAGCTAGAGCTCACAACCATTTACACAACGGGTGAGTGGTCTGATCTTTCTGGTAAACGGTAAGAGGTTTATTAAATTAGTAACACACGTATTGTGAGCGTAACATAGTCTGTTACGTTGTGGGAACACCCGTAGTGCTGCTGCTACTCTGCTCTGTTAAACTGTGGGAACAAAGCCTAGCTATATTTCTTTATATTCCATCACACAGTACGTGTCTAGTACTTTTGGTAGTGAAATCTGTCAGCCTGAGCTGACAGACTTCAGTAGAGCGATGAAAATTTCGTCGAGCATTTCACCGTGAGTTTGGTAGCCACGGAAACTTGAAAGGTTTTCTGGAAGCAGAGCTGGAATGGCTTACTGGAGAAGGTCTCTCTCCCCTGGCTGCCTTCAAGAGAGAGCTGGACAGATACCTAAAGTCAGTGCCGGATCAGCCGGGCTGTGGCTCGTACGTTGGACTGCGTGCGGCCAGCAGTAACAGCCTAGTTGATCAGGCCTTGATCCATCGGGAGGCCTGGTCATGGACCGGGCCGCGGGGGCGTTGATCCCCGGAATAACCTCCAGGTAACCTCCAGGTAATCCAGGTAACCTCTCTTTTTTTTCACAGGGTTTGACAAGGTTAAGGATTCCTAGCTTTATTGACAAGCTATTTACAGGTTAAGGATTCCTAACTTTATTGGCAAGCTAAGAGCTGTTACCTACATCAGCTCATTTGAAAGCATTTTTATTGTTATGAGACATACACGTAGGGAACAGGATGAAGTTGGAGCCATCTGTGGGCAGCATTTTATCATTTGATCAACTGACTTTATCTCGTTGACATCATTATGCTGTACGAATGTGTTCCATACTCGAGTCATCCTGGGTATATATGATCTCAGATGGAGTGATGTTCTGGAGAAGGGTACAGCCAGAGTGAAGTTGCTGCTTTCTGCCCGTCTTGTGGCATAAAAGCTTGTTTCACGCTGTCCTCGAAGTGGATCCAAGTGTGGTACTTTGACAATATTGGCCTTGTACATAACAGTAAGCCACCCACATCCCTCCTATGTTGAAGGCTCTGCTGAAATGACAGATCTATCCAGGATGGGTCCAGGCGAGAGATGAAACGTCTTGCTCTGTTCTCTACTCTGTCAAGCAGTCGCAGATGAGAGGGGGGGGGGGGCAGGCAAACCAAGAAAGTGGAGCATACTCAAGGTGTGAGCGTACTTGTGCCTCGTACAGAATCTTGCAACCCCTACTGTCAAGTAGATGCGAGATACGGCGAAGTGCTGTAAGCTTCCTGGCTGCCTTGTTTGCAAGATTTTCAACATGGTTCTTCATGGTTAGTTTGGAGTCAAATTTCACCCCAAGGATATCAACTTCTTCTCCAGGTGCCAACACCCTCCCATTCATCCTTACTACTGCACCAGCATTACCATCATGGTGCCTACAGACGATCATCATTTGCGTTTTCTCAGGTGCAAATGTTACTTGCCATCTATTTTCCCAAGCTGATATAGCTCTCAGCAGGTGATTGATGTAGCTTAGAGCAGCTGGCATTTCTTCCCTTGGATAAGTGAATGTCAGTGTACAGTCGTCTGCATATGCATGTGATTCTGGGATGAGATGAAGAAGGTCGTTGAAGTAGACATTCCATAACAATGGTCCCAGCACGCTTCCTTGTGGAACACTTGCCCCAATAGGATGTCTTGCTGATTCCGTTCCATTGAGAACTACACTTAGAGATCTACCATGAAGGTAATCACTGAGGAGACATAGTGTAGAGCCTGCAATTCCCAGTGCTTTAAGTTATGCTAAGAGGCCCTGGTGCCACACCCGGTCGAAAGCGCCAGCAATGTCCAGTGCTACCACACAGCTGACTTTGGATTCATCCAGTGACTGGTGCCACTTAGTGGAGAGGTTTAACAACAGATCAGCAGCAGAGTAACCTTTCCTGAAGCCATATTGACGATCACAAAGTAGTGAGTGGTAGTCAAAAAAAAAACTGTCATTTGTCTTGAGATTATTGTCTCAAGGATCTTACCAGTGATTGACAGGAGTGACACTGGTCTGTAGTTGCTGATTTCTGCTCTGCTCTTCTTTTTGTGAACAGGGACTCATTTGCCTCTTTCCATAGAGAAGGCCATTTACACTGTACTAGGCAGTGCTGAAAGATGCGAGTTAGAGGTGCTGCTAGCTGGTCTGCACATCTTCTCAGCAATCTTGGGCTCAACTCTCTCTCTCTCTCTCTCTCTCTCTATGCTGATTCAACTTTATCCATTGATTAGCACTGCATTACTTTGCAACAATTGGTTTCCCCTGGTGATCAACTCGGTCACCATCTCGGCATGACATGTACACCTGACAAATGCAGTTTATCTGGAGGGTTTATTTTCCTAAGTCGCCCAGAGAAGAAAACATTAGCTTATTATTTTCTAGTATTTATTTATTCGCACATTATTTATCCTTTGGCGTTGACGGGTCAAGTCTCAGGCTGATTTATTTTTGTACCGAGAGAAGAGACTATCATGCCCCGACTGAGAAACCAGAGAGGCATGAATGCTCGGCTTGTTCTTCACTCATTCATCATGACAAGTGGTGATGCAGAAAGTCTAGTGTTCTGACCTCTAGTTGACATGGCGACCACAAGCCGAGTTTCCTCCTGATAGCCTCGTGCTATCCTAATATCAGCTATTTTAGACAGAACTATTGATACCTAGACTGTTAGTATGTTGCGTAAAAGGACACAAGTGCGACATTTTATTGTGGCAATGTTTCTCTCTCCGGCTTAAAGCTCCTGGAGAGCGAAACGTTGCCATAATAAAAATGTGGCATTAGTTGCACTTGTGTTCTTTTACCTAACATATTGTCGGTAATTCCACTAACATAATTATTGACTGCAACTAGTTCATAGTAGACAGCTTCAGTGTGGAGCCCCGGGTCTCCTGCTTTCTTACCCCCATGTACTTTCTCTTGCTGTAAGATGAGAGACTGATTATCATACTGCAAGACTGGTGGATTGATTACGTCAAACTCTCCCTCAGCTTCGTCTTCCACCAAGACTGATGGACTGATTACGTCAAACTTCTTACAGCGCA